AGAAGATTGAATATGGACTGGTACGTAAACTATATAAAAATTGATATTTAACCTTACAATTGTAAAAATTCCCTTTATCTTTTTAAAATGAATACCTAAAAACTGTACCTGTATCGACAGATGTTAATCTGCAGGTAATTTGATTTTGAATTAAAGTTTAAGTAGGTACAAACAACAATAACTTCAGTTTATATTATAAATTAATAACTACTAACAATAAGTATGACTAACAAATACTCATTACTCATATGGTTTGTCATAAAAATAAAGTCGATTATAATTATTCCAGTTGCATCAAAAAGTAAGGTTGCTTAAATCGTACCACCTAAGGAATTAATGGTTGGTTGTATTAATGAAATGAAATTAAATTAAAATCTTTGGCTTTTCTTGAAACTTCATTTAGTGACTTATGACTAACAATTATTCAAATTTGATTTTTCATGAAACCAGATATTTTTAGTTTTTCAGCAATGTATTTTCGGTACCAAAATTTTAATAAATAGATAATTTTCCATCTCGTAGAGAAATTAGACATTACGCTAATTTATACTAACAAAAATTATATGAATTTACAAAAATGATATGAAAAAAAATGTACAATTTTCGAAACCAACTTTGTTGTATAAATTCATAGCAGATTTTTTTATTACAGGATTCAATATTTCGTGCCGAAGACTTGAAAACTATCAAGAAAAGGTCTTATTGGCATATATTAGTTGTTTTTGCAATCATGTTTATTCAAGCATAATATATTTTCCAGGTTAGTTCGTTTTTGTAAAATATTTTAAATTTCTTGAATATTTTCAATTTGATTAATTAATGATATATAAAGAGATATGAGAACAACGAGTTGTGTTATTTATAAAACAAAAAGATTATAATAAGGCGTGGAATTTGTTATGGAAATTAAAACAATAGGCGATAGAAATTTGTTGTTAGTTAGCTTAACAACAAAGCTTTAATAACAATTGACAGTTCGAAGGCATTTTTGATCTATCATTTCCGAGTTGAGCGATATTTCAATTTACAATAATTAAGAACTCAAATAAGATACGAACCATGATAAGATAAATTAAAATGTTAAAAGTTGTCTGTTTTGAATATTTTTGATTTAAAAAAACTGCATTAACATAATATTCTTTTCTGCATATTTATTTATTATATTTATATTTATCAGACGAGTTGTTAAGTTTACAGACGAGTTGCTAGTTTACAGACGAGTTGCTAAGTTTACAGACGAGTTGCTGAGTTTACAGACGAGTTGCTGAGTTTACAGACGAGTTGCTAAGTTTACAGACGAGTTGCTAAGTTTACAGACGAGTTGCTAAGTTTACAGACGAGTTGCTAAGTTTGAGAACGACTTGCTAAGTTTGAGAACGACTTGCTAAGTTTGAGGACGACTTGCTAAGTTTGAGGACGACCTGCTAAGTTTGAGGACGACTTGCTAAGTTGAGGACGACTTGCTAAGTTTGAGGACGACCTGCTTAGTTTACGGACGACCTGCTTAGTTTACGGACGACCTGCTAAGTTTTACGGACGACCTGCTAAGTTTTACGGACGACCTGCTAAGTTTTACGGACGACCTGCTAAGTTTTACGGACGACCTGCTAAGTTTTACGGACGACTTGCTAAAATTTACGGACGACTTGCTAAAATTTACGGACGACTTGCTAAGTTTTACGGACGACTTGCTAAGTTTTACGGACGACTTGCTAAGTTTTACGGACGACTTGCTAAGTTTTACGGACGACTTGCTAAGTTTTACGGACGACTTGCTAATTTTACGGACGACTTGCTAAATTTTACGGACGACTTGCTAAGTTTTACGGACGACTTGCTGAATTTACAGACGACTTGCTGAATTTACAGACGACTTGCTGAATTTACAGACGACTGCTGAATTTACAGACGACTCGCTGAATTTACAGACGACTCGCTGAATTTACAGACGACTCGCTGAATTTACAGACGACTCGCTGAATTTACAGACGACTCGCTAAGTTTACAGACGACTCGCTAAGTTTACAGACGACTCGCTAAGTTTACAGACGACTCGCTAAGTTTACAGACGACTCGCTAAGTTTACAGACGACTCGCTAAGTTTACAGACGACTCGGGACGTATACAGACGACTCGGGACGTATACAGACGACTCGGACGTATACAGACGACTCGGGACGTATACATACGACTCGGGACGTTTACATACGACTCGGGAAGCTCACGGACGACTCGGGAAGCTCACGGACGACTCGGGAAGCTCAAGGACGACTCGGGAAGCTCACGGACGACTTGAGGCGTTTACAGACGACTTGAGGCGTTTACAGACGACTTGAGGCGTTTACAGACGACTTGAGGCGTTTACAGACGACTTGAGGCGTTTACAGACGACTTGAGGCGTTTACAGACGACTTGAGGCGTTTACAGACGACTTGAGGCGTTTACAGACGACTTGAGGCGTTTACAGACGACTTGAGGCGTTTACAGACGACTTGAGGCGTTTACAGACGACTTGAGGCGTTTACAGACGACTTGAGGCGTTTACAGACGACTTGAGGCGTTTACAGACGACTTGAGGCGTTTACAGACGACTTGAGGCGTTTACAGACGACTTGAGGCGTTTACAGACGACTTGAGGCGTTTACAGACGACTTGAGGCGTTTACAGACGACTTGAGGCGTTTACAGACGACTTGAGGCGTTTACAGACGACTTGAGGCGTTTACAGACGACTTGAGGCGTTTACAGACGACTTGAGGCGTTTACAGACGACTTGAGGCGTTTACAGACGACTTGAGGCGTTTACAGACGACTTGAGGCGTTTACAGACGACTTGAGGCGTTTACAGACGACTTGAGGCGTTTACAGACGACTTGAGGCGTTTACAGACGACTTGAGGCGTTTACAGACGACTTGAGGCGTTTACAGACGACTTGAGGCGTTTACAGACGACTTGAGGCGTTTACAGACGACTTGAGGCGTTTACAGACGACTTGAGGCGTTTACAGACGACTTGAGGCGTTTACAGACGACTTGAGGCGTTTACAGACGACTTGACACGTTTACAGACGACTTGACACGTTTACAGACGACTTGACACGTTTACAGACGACTTGACACGTTTACAGACGACTTGAGACGTTTACAGACGATTTTCCAACATTTTTGGACCAACCTAAAATATTTTCTGACTATTTAGAACATTTTCGGATTAATTAGTATAATTTTCGAATACCTAAAACAGTATCGGGCTACCTACGATATTTTTATACTATCCCGAATATTTTCAGACAATCAAATACATTCCCTTACTATAACTATATGATTTTTGATCTATCTAGAATACATTCAGACAATCTAGAGAATTTTGACTATCTAGAACGTTTACAGGCTAATCTCGCCTGCCATACTTCCATTTGTCATACTTCCTCCATGATAAAAATTTGTCTTAGAGTTAACTAATTGACTCTACATTGCATTACAAGTTTTACTACAAATAACAAAACATTTTTTCGGTCTCTATTCGAATGACCATTTTAAATGACAAAAGTGATTGTTTCCCTGGTGTTATATTTCTATATGATGTGTGTCCGACATTTAATGCAACTTTTTCTAAGTCGTAAGCATCGGATAGTACCTTTATTAGCTTGTTAGAAATACATCAATATTGAATAAACTAGTTTTAAACAATATTTTCAGTATTTATGGTACCTTCGACCTCCACCATCAATAATGAAATTGTGTGTATATTTTACACGTGGAATGATTTCAATGTTGAGCGACATTGTCGTCATAGTATTTTGTTTGCAATTTTCGCAAAACAGCCTATTGCTAACATCTATGATGGAAAGGATTTATGAAGAACTGCAAGCTGGCATGGAAGCTAAATTAATTATTTTTAAGAAAGATACCATGGAGGAAAAAAGTTTGAAATCTGAGGAAAAACTGATAGCTAATAGTAAATGCCAACCAGCAACTGATATTGAACAAAACCATAAATATTCAGAGCACACAAATAGCAATGCTTTTATAGTCGATTATAACTTGGAAAGTAGAACATCCAACAAATTACCAAAACCAGGGAATCGAATCGGTTTATCACATAAAACTATAGGAAAAAAATTGGCTTAAGAGAAACGTCCAATGCAAAATTAGGAACATTTAGAAAATGTAGTCAAAAAGGCTTAAAGAAAGAATTACTTCCATATCGATAATAGATTCTGATATGGGATCTATAAATGAAGATGTTTTAGAAGCTCCTGTCTTAAATAATCAGATTGAATCAAACAGCTCGTCAAAGTATATTAGTTATAGCCAATTTAGTGAAGCTAATGAAACATCCCATAAACCACATTCAAACTTCAAAACCAACTTAACAAGTACCATAAAATCACTAAATGCAAGAATAACAAGTCCTTTACCACGTTCGACTTCTGTGATCAATGTGACTCCATCAAAACTGAATCCGCAATTATTTTTCCAAGACCCAAAAATGTTGATAAAAATTATTTGCAAAATGAGAAAATTTTATGGAGGCCTACTGAAGTCTTTGAAAATTTTAAATGAAGCTTTAAATCCATTACTGCTGCTACAAATGACGGTTTTGATAATATGTTTGGTGCTGAATGCTTATCTGGTGGTTCAATTTCTGATATCAAGTGAGGAAAATGCTATGTTGTTTTTGTCTTTAACAAAACTTGTGGTACATGCCTTGTCTGTGCTGTATTTGCTGATGTATTCGGAACATTTATATCGAACGGTTAGTATCTACAAGTATAATTGAAATAGATGTTTTTTTAATATTCGCATTTGAATACGCAAACGAAATAACGACTAAAAAAGTATCAAAATTTTTGTTACTCCGTTTTTCAAAATTTGCGAAACGTCTGGACCGATCTTGACGAATTTTTTTTGGCGAATATCTAATGTAGTTGGGCGTAACTTATACTACTTTTATTCTAAAGAAAAAAAAGATATCTTACCTCATCTTATGTTATCTTATTGCATCCAGCTGTATCCAAGAATTCGTCTGCCTAAAATGAAAAAAATAATTAGTTTAATTTTTGCATTTTATTTCATCATATTTTAATTCAAAATATTTTAATAATATTATATACATTCTTACAACTTTTAAATCTCATCTTATTTTATTTCAAACTATATAGTTACATTTTTACTATATTTTTTACATTTAATTAAATTCCCATTGGGTAAGTTATTGTAATCATCCAAAAATGAAATTTTTTGCATATCTCGACGTTTCAGAGGTTTTTGAACATTTTGGCACACTTTAGAAACATGAATGTATGTGTGTATGTATGTATGTATGTTTACATACAATTTTTCGTACACGATTTCGGGCGCACAGGTCAACCGATTTGAATTAAAACCTACGGTGCCAAAGCCATCAAAATCGGACGCAATTTTTTTTACCCTCATCGGAACACAATACGTGACCTTAGCATCATGGTATGATTTCAGTTTTTTCTTATTTATTCGGCAACCGTTGAGAATATCAAAATGCCGTTATTTTCACGTTATTCTAGCCCACAAGACAATTCGCCTGACGTTTAATTGAAGCTTCTACGTGCCCGGGAAGTCTGTGAAAAATTAAAAAAACTAACAAATTTTTTGGTCCATTTTTGAGCATTTTTTACTCATGAAATCTTTAAGCGCTCATAACTTTTGAACGATTCATCATAGGATATTGATGTTTTCAGGCGAAATATTCTAAATCAAAAGATCTTTAACCCAGTATGAAAAGTTTTAAGATACCTCTTGCCGTTCGCGAGATATACCCCAAAAACAGTTTCAAATTTTCAACTTTGAAACAGTTAAACGCATGTATCTCGGAAAATATTCAACATAGGGTCATGGTGTGTATGAATGAAATATGCGCATTTAAAATATGTATCTGTAGGTGCAAAATAGTTAGGTTGAGAATATTAAAATGCAGTTTTTTTCGCGTTATTCTAGCCCACAAGACAATTCACCTGACGTTTAATTGAAGCTTATACGTGCCCGGGAAGATAGAAGGTCCGAATTGGAAATTAATTGTAGGTCATATAGCAAGATATAACGCCATATAATAATTATTTTAATACTCGTATGCTTTCCTGGTTAAAACCGCCGAAAACTCAAAAATGAAGCTGATCAAATGCACTAAAAATTTTTTGATGAAAAAGTCTTATCATCTCGGATTTCGATTAAACTCATAGTGTTTATGCACAATAGTGTTAGTAAAATTCTGTGAAAATTTTATGACACTTAGTCTATTAGTTTTTGAGATATTCGCATTTGAAATTTTGCAGTATACCAAAAAAAATTCTTACTTTTTTGACGATTGCTCGGCGTGTGGGGCAGATAGAGGGTCCGAATTGGAAATTAATTGTAGGTCATATAGCGAGATATAACGCCATATAATAATTATTTTAATACTCGTATGCTTTCCTGGTTAAAACCGCCGAAAACTCAAAAATGAAGCTGATCAAATCACTAAAAAATTTTTGATGAAAAAGTCTTATCATCTCGGATTTCGATTAAACTCATAGCGTTTATGCACAATAGTGTTAGTAAAATTCTGTGAAAATTTTATGACACTTGGTCTATTAGTTTTCGAGATTTTTGCATTTGAAATTTTGCAGTGTACCAAAAAAAATTCTTACTTTTTTGACGATTGCTCGGCGTGTGGGGCAGATAGAGCGTCCGAATTGGAAATTAATTGTAGGCCATATAGCGAGATATAACGCCATATAATAATTATTTTAATACTCGTATGCTTTCCTGGTTAAAACCGCCGAAAACTCAAAAATGAAGCTGATCAAATGCACTAAAAATTTTTTGATGAAAAAGTCTTATCATCTCGGATTTCGATTAAACTCATAGTGTTTATGCACAATAGTGTTAGTAAAATTCTGTGAAAATTTTATGACACTTGGTCTATTAGTTTTCGAGATATTCGCATTTGAAATTTTGCAGTATACCAAAAAAAATTCTTACTTTTTTGACGATTGCTCGGCGTGTGGGGCAGATAGAGGGTCCGAATTGGAAATTAATTGTAGGTCATAAAGCGAGATATAACGCCATATAATAATTATTTTAATACTCGTATGCTTTCCTGGTTAAAACCGCCGAAAACTCAAAAATGAAGCTGATCAAATGCACTAAAATTTTTTTGATGAAAAAGTCTTATCATCTCGGATTTCGATTAAACTCATAGTGTTTATGCACAATAGTGTTAGTAAAATTCTGTGAAAATTTTATGACACTTGGTCTATTAGTTTTCGAGATATTCGCATTTGAAATTTTGCTGTGTTAAAAACTAGTTTTGTAGAGCGTCGAATTTTCAATAAAACATGACACGAATTGTCACTTTCAATTCATTTGTCGCTAAGTTATACCTAAAAAACATTTTTAAAATTTTCGATTTTTTTTTCATGCTATTTCCATACGAAACTTTGGTTGAAATCTAAAAGTTAATATTAAGAGCTAAAAATTTTGGCTCTTTTAGCCCCTGGGAGCAATAAAACTCAAAAATGTCCATATTAAGGACCACCTTTATAAACATATATATATAATATATATATATATATATATATATGTGTGTGTGTGTGTCTGTGTAAATACATATATGGATATATGTGTGTATGTACCTGTGTTTAGTTGCGTAAGTTTTTCCCAAGCGTTTCTGGTTGCTCAAGTTTTTCTCCAGGCGCATAATATCAAGCTCTCCATAGAATTCCTGCATCAATAAAAAAATTCTGTATTACAAATATTTCAATAACAAATTCATCACATACATCATATAAAACATATATATATATATATATATATATATATATATATATATATATACTAGCAAACCCGACGAACTCCGTTTCGCCACCAAATGGTTTCGTGAGACAGATGAACTTTTTTGTTTGTTTTATATTTGAAAAGGAAAAATGTGATTTTATTATACAACAGTAATGAATTTATTTTGATTACAAAAATGAAGTGTTTTTTAGTTGAACTTCTCTAAATAAATAAAAGTGAATCCGCAAATTATCCGTTTCATTGAAGTGCTCTTTGATAAGCCACATTTTTTGTTTTTTGGTCTGACGTTAACACAAACAAAGCGGATGGTTTTCCAACTCGTGAACAGGCAACGAATAACTGCCCATGTGAAAAACAATGATTTTCTAAATAATCTATTTGAAATTTATCCCGCAAAGGTCTAATTTAGACAAATGCCAAAAAAACGATACTAATTTTTGCAAACTTTGACGAATTTTTAGCTAAACGTGCTGTCGTAGGGGTGTTATATTTTAGTATTATCTAGAAGAATATGGTATCTACCGCCAAACAATAATCATAAAAATCGTCGATTTTTTTTAAAAAAAAACTTTATTACAAGAAAACGGCCCAGCCGATCTCTACCAAAAACTAATCAGCACGATTCCCAACCAATATCTTTCGAACGGTTTCTGAATTTTCAAAATCGATTCAGAATTCGGGCTAAAACGTGGACTTTTCTGCGATTTACAAAGTAAAGGCACGGCCGATTGTCACATAAAACTCAGAAACGCTAGTCCTCATCGTAATACATCGAATGGCTTTTAAATTTTTGAAATAGGTCCAGTCGCTTTTGAAAAAATGTCGATTTACGGCAAAAAATCTGTTCACATACACGCACACACACACATAATTTTTCCAAACTCGGTCTCATTCGATTCAGAATGGCTTGAAACGTCGAAAAAACATAAAATTAGTGAATCAGATTTTTTGATGAAAACAAACTTCTCCTTCGGAAAGTTAAAAATTTAAACTCGAGTGTGATATGTATCAACTAGCATTTATATAAAAATACCGAATATACCGGTATTTTTAAGACAAATGCCGGTTTTCAGGCAGTATACCAGTATTGCATTCCCGAATTGCATATAATTACGCCAATTATTTATTTTATTTTTTATTTTTCATTTATATCCATAAACTGTCTTTTACCAATATCATATTTTTAGGTATTGGTTTGACATTGTAGGTACAACAATTTAGATTGAAAATATATTTAACAAAATTATTATATATGGTCAAGATTTGACCAGGGCTTTTATTTAACCGGGAACCCTTCGGGGTAGGGGATACAATTATATGAGTATAAATACCTGTAACATATAATAATAAGGGAGTCTAGCAAATGTAATAAGAGAAGAAGGTTGTAGAGTGTAGTTCAATATATGTCATAAATTAAATAGTGGTTTTATTCAAATCTTCTTATGGTGATGAAATATTTATAATTTACAGTCCACTCAATATCAAATTAATCAAAGTGATCCTCACCATAATTGGTTTATTTCGAGCCGAATTTTAGATCAAAATTGGTCACATTAAGCCGAATTTTAGATCATAAATTGTCGATCTGATCCGAATATACAAACTACAAAGTGAAATAATATACTGTGATTTGTGATTTTGATCTGGCACCAGATCAAGTTTGTTGTAAGTCATCACGGATTTGAGACAATCGGTCCGTTCGAGAACCCGACTGGAGCAAATTGCTAGCCAATATAGCATTTCAATACAACTCTTCAAGATCTCAAAGGACGACTGCTGCGTATTGTTTAGAACTATTAACAATACTGCGTACACATAGCTGGTTCCTGCGGGAAGTTTTATTCAACCATTGGAAGCAGATTTATCTTGGCCACTAGTTGTCGGATGCTGCAAATGGACACTCCTCCAGAGAAATATCAGCTAAGTCGATTTATTTGCTAGACTCCCTTATTATTATATGTTACAGGTATTTATACTCATATAATTGTATCCCCTACCCCGAAGGGTCCCAGGTTAAATAAAAGCCCTGGTCAAATCTTGACCAATATATGTTGTATAATTAAAAGTATAAATGAAAGTTGTATATTTATTATATATATTTATTGGTTTAGTTGTTCCATAAAAATATTCATCGCATTGTTATTTATTAAATAATTCATTTCATTATTTAATTAAATAATTTATCACCATTAGATGAAATTTAGTACAATATATAAATATATTATATATATATATATATTATAGAATTTTATGATATGAGTGGAACGAATATTAATTGTTTAATATGAACAAAACAGCACTCAGATTTGTTTAACACAACTTTATTTTATGATTACAGACGTTTCGAGACTATGGTGTGTCTCATCTTCAGTGTAATTTCAAAAACAGTTACTTATATACTACACATTCTTTAATAACTTATTTAAATTTCATTTAACTTTTGATATACAGAAAACACCAACTATTCCTTGCAATGCTTGACACAGTACTAAGAAACATATAACACTTACAGAAATATTCTAAACAAATTTGAAGTACTTATATAGATGGAGACAGAGAGGGTATCATTATAATGTAAACAAAAGGAGTGCTATCGCATACAAAATCGATAAAAATGAAAAAACAAATTAATTTATTGAAAAGAATAAGATAAATGAAAAAAATTATAAATTATTAATGATGTTTACATGACACTTATATAAACATCATTAATAATTTATAATTTTTTTCATTTATCTTATTCTTTTCAATAAATTAATTTGTTTTTTCATTTTTATCGATTTTGTATGCGATAGCACTCCTTTTGTTTACATTATAATGATACCCTCTCTGTCTCCATCTATATAAGTACTTCAAATTTGTTTAGAATATTTCTGTAAGTGTTATATGTTTCTTAGTACTGTGTCAAGCATTGCAAGGAATAGTTGGTGTTTTCTGTATATCAAAAGTTAAATGAAATTTAAATAAGTTATTAAAGAATGTGTAGTATATAAGTAACTGTTTTTGAAATTACACTGAAGATGAGACACACCATAGTCTCGAAACGTCTGTAATCATAAAATAAAGTTGTGTTAAACAAATCTGAGTGCTGTTTTGTTCATATTAAACAATTAATATATATATATATATATATATATATATATATATATATATATAATGACCGTTATGTCATCTATTATTTATTTTTCACAATTTTAATTGTCTGTTAATATTGAAAACATGTAGTTAGTATAAAAATATCACAATTTTAAAATTACTCATTCAAGCACCAAGTTGTAAATTGATCCAAACGTATTTTTATTATATCTATTAGAGTTACACTCTTCCATTAAAACAAATAAATAAATAAATAAATTAGAATGACTCTTCTCGGAAAAATCTTGATGTAAAAACTGCACTAGAATAAATATAATATTAATACAGCCATATTTTAAGTGAAATATTGGTTATAGTATATTTCAATTATTTGTGTTATTCATAATTTTCATTATTCATTTTTGAATCGATAACCAAACAACCTAATAATAACTTATTAATTTTTTTATTTAATTCAATTCAATGGCTCATCAATATTTTTTTAATACAATTATACGCAAAAATGCAATTACTTTATGGCTAAATTTATTTTTGCACATATTAGTTTTACCAGTGTTATATTAAGAAATTTTCAATAATGAAAATGATTTATATAATAAAAAAATAAATAAGATTATCTGTTATTCAGCCGAGAAAAAACTGTATTTATTTGAAGAATTATAAAAATTAAAATTAAAAATACGTTGATATTTTTCCATTGCAAATTTTAATACACGTTTTTCTATAATCATGTTACGTAAAATGAGTTGTGAATATAATTTAAATTTTATATGAATTTAACATAAAACAATGTAAAAGTAGAAAGAAATAATAAACCATTTTTATAGAAAGTTGTGTTTATATTGTAAATTATAAATTTATCCAATTAAAAATATACTATTAATGATCAGAGAGGTATTATTATGATATAATAATTAGTATAATTCATATGAATAATTTATGGTTGTTTCAGAAACATTCAATCCGATGAATGAATAAAAACATCAATGGAAGAAATTAATTAGCAACGTTTTGGAATAAGATAAGTTCCATCATCAGGTTTTGCTGTCAAAATCAATTTTTTTGAACTATATTAATGATTCATTAACTTCCCGAAGGAGAAGTTTGTTTTCATCAAAAAATCCGATTCGCTAATTTTATGTTTCTCGACGTTTCAAGCCATTCTGAATCGAATGAGACCAAATTTGAAAAAAGTATGTGTGTGGGTGTGTATGTGTGTGTGTATGTGTATGTGAACAGATTTTTGCCGTAAATCGACGTTTTCTCAAAAATTTGGTCAGTTGTTCATTTCATGAACACAAATTAAATGTTGTTTGAATCATTAATGTTTCATTCACAGTTATCTCAAAAACTCAATTACTATTTTCAGCACTTAGATTAGTATGAGTTCCCAGTGGAAAAAGTCACTTATTTAAACATTATTTTACTTATTTAAAATCTTGTACATATACTAGATCTTACCTCAGGCTGCATGGATGTCAGCATTTCTTCGCAAAATTGCACAGAGTCAAATTGTTCAAATTGTTCACTCACACACACACTTTGTTTTACGCGAAATTATGCAAAATTTATTTTATTTGCACTTTGATTTTAACAACGCGAATTTTATTACCACTACACTCACTTTTATTTTAAGAAGTCTTTTTTAGGCTGAAAGAAATTTATGGATTAGTGAGAGGTACGGTCACAATTTTGCCCATCCTGAATAAATACTGATTATATAATTAGTTGACGATTTCCTAACTGTAACTTAGCTCACGGTTCGACCTATCTATAGGACAAAATTACCGATTTTTATACTCGATATTAATTTGACGTGATGCAACGAGACGTGTGACCGTACCCTTGGAAATCATGCCTAGAAATAAAAATGCACTGACCTTTGTTTAAAATCACCGATTCTTCTGTAACATCCCGATTACCAATTTGTTGTCTGAAAGATAGAAAAAAAATGTGAGTTTCTAAATATATTATTAATAAATGATTTGTGCTAAAAAAACAGTGCATTACCTCGTGATTTACAGAAGAGAGCTGACCAGGAATCACGAACGTGAAACCAGGAACCAGGAACCGGGAACAAGACACTATCACTGCACTAGAACACTACAAAGGCCTTTATAAAACACTACACAAACACTAAAATAACTATAAACAAACGGATTGAAAAATATCTCAAAAACCGAAAAAACAATCACTACGTGTCGACACCAGGTATTTTTAAACCAGATCACTGGACACCAAGTTTTAAAAACACTGTTCATCACTAATAAAACTTGGATGGATTTTTATAATAATGTTCTCATAATCAACAAAAACATTACCAATGAAGATAAAATACATAGCGATTTATGTTTTCTTTATCTCCAGTTTTATGATTGGTCCTTTATAGCCTTGTATCTTTTGACTGGTTAAATGGATAAAGATGGATGAATAACATCCAATTCAATGTCAATTAAGAGATCTTTTACGATGCAAATTTCTATTTAAATCCATTGTTCTGTATTTCCAAACCTAGTAAAATTAGAATTTCAGTTATGAAATTCGTGGTCTTCCTGGTCAAAAATATTTGCACAACACTGTTAACACAAATAAAACACTTTTTTGTCCACAAAACGATCTAAAAGTCCAATTAAATTTAATCAATTTCACTACTGCATTGTCCTTGTACTTTTATAATGGTTTTTATTCACTTGTTCTGCGTAATAAAATCTATATCCTATGATTGTGTATTTTCACGATTTGTGAAGTTGACCCTTGGTTCGTGTAAGTTATTATTAAAATGTTTTTAGGGACCTATGTTCTCAGAATTGGATTTCTGCTGAAAATAAACAAATTAGTTAGAAGAAACATTTGGTCAAATATATTATTTGCATATAGAAGAGTAAACAAAGTACTAAATGTCCATTGATATGTGATTCGTGAAACCATTCATAAAAACCTATGTACATTCAAAATACCTTTATTCATAGAAATGTCCATGCATTAGGTTCATAATTTGCAATAATTATTTTACAAATTTGAATTTAGCACCATATTCGTTTTTTTAATTGCTTTATTTATTGTGTATATATTTTTCCGCGATTGTATTAATATACTAATATAGTATACTATAATTTTTCTATACAAGCCGATTGAGAAGGTCGCAACTGATTCTTCGGCAAACTTGCAAATATATTAGGACCAATCATATTCGACGAATTAAAACCACGTGGGCGATTCTATTATTTATGATAAGGCGAGGACACATAAATTTACCTAAGAAAATTGTGTGTATTTAACAATTGTGCAGACTTTCGTAACACATTTGAAGGAATGTCTGAAGTGGATGGGCAAAACCAATATTTTAAATTTATATAAAGAAATTACATGAATTTTACAATTAATCATATTCTTGTAACTTGGAATTTGATAAAATTATTAGCAGGACGAAACCACAAGTTGCACATAAGGGGAGGCCCTATCACAATATTTAAAATATAGAACAAGGAATAAGTTGCTTTTTATATATATTAACTTCCCGTAGGGTAAGTTATTGTAATGGGCGGAAAATCGAAATTAAAATTTTTTACATTTCTCGACGTTGTGAAGGTTTCTTGACATTTTGGCATACTTCGGAAAAAATGGATGTGTGTGTATGTATGTATGTATGGATACAATTTTTCGTCCACGTTTTCGGGCGTACGGATCAACCGATTTGAATGGTTCAAAAAACATTCGATTTCTATTTATAAGAAGATGTGCTAATTAGTTTTTAACAAAGGCAGGCCCAGCATTTACGGAGATAAAAAGCAAAGAGTACAGAAAATAGAAATCGAGTTTTTGAGAGAACGGAGCGTCCGATTTGAATGATCTAAAAAACATTCAATTAGTAATGATTGGGAGACGTGGTTATTAGTTTTTTTGCAAAGGCAGGCCCAGCCATTTCGAAGATACGGAGCTAAATGTACAAAGAATGGCAGTTTTTGAGAGAACTAAGCGTCCGATTTAATTAATTCAAAAAACTTTCTGCTTGTCTTAACAAAATAATTGATTTTGGAAAAAAAAATTGTTTAAATTTTTTTTCATTTTTTTTTTATTTTTGTATATCGAAAATAATTCAGATTTTATTTTTAATTTTGACTATAGTTCTAATATACTTTAAACAAATAATTTCAACTTTGCAATTCAGTTTATATAATTCTTATTATTACATATGTTACATTATTTATAATAATCTATTTGAAAACATTCAGTATTCCTCGAACATTTCGTTGCGGTACGGGAAGTTCCAGCAATTTGCCTTAAGGAACGTTGCCACACACCCCACTAGTTTAATCTTGTATAACAAATTTGATGGAAATATAAAATAAAAGGACACTACTAATATTCGGAATTAAGGTGTTCTTGTTTTGAAAATTATTAAAAATGCAAAATTACTTGAAATTTACAATTCATCACATATGCCCTGATTATTATTATAGATATAGTTATTATAGTATTTAATTTATATCAACAGTAATTAGTGTTCTGTTATATATTAAATTATGAAAATAAATGCATAATAGCTTATAAATTGTACGACGACCTTTATATAAGGTTACGAAAAAAGTAAATAAATAAAACTTAATCAATCGGTTTTAAAATGAAGAAAATTGTCTAATACTTATTATAGAAACTGAATTGCAAAGTTAAAATTATTTATTCGAGGTTTATATAGATGAGCTTTAGATCTTAAATATTTTTAAAATATTTAAAAAAAAACTTCATTTTTGGAATAAATATTTGTTTTTTCTTTCCCAAAAGCAATCGTTTCGTCAACACAAACAAAATCAGATGGTAATTACTCTCGAAAACTTTTTGCATATTTAGCTCCATATCTCTGAAACGGCTGGACTTGGCTTTGCTAAAACCTAATCTTCACTTCTCCCCATCATTACGAATTGAATGTATTTTTAATCATTCAAATCAGATGCTTCGTTCTCTTAAAATCTCGATTTCTATTTACTGCACACTTTGCTCCGTACCTCCGAAGCAGCTAGACCTATTCTCGCCAAAAACTTATCAGCACATCTCCCTATCAATAGAGATCGAATGTTTTTTGAATTATTCAAAACGGTTATTCCATACTGTCGAAAATGTCGAGGACATTTGTTTGATCCATATGAGTAAATTTTTTTTTTTTTTTGTCAATCAAAACTTTATTCAAGTTTTATAATACAAAATTGTTGAGTATATAAACAAACAAACAAAATTAAACCTAAATACAAAAATATAATGTAAATAATAAACAAAATATTAACAAAATAAAGTTACAAAATATTGAAACAATAATCTTAACATTAACTATGGCAGGAACTGAGCATTAACTACTCTGTCGAGTGGTGAATGCTTCTATGATGATAGATGGGGAAGGTCATCGGGCCATTTCTTCTTCAGTCTTCTTGTTGGGTTGGGCAGAGATTTGATGATGGGATTTGTGTGGAGTTCTAATTTCTTGATGTGGGATATGCTTCTTGATTTTATATATTCTGCAACGGTTGGAATATTTAGGTCTTTGTGGAGGCAGTAGTTGGATATATACCACGGTGCGTCAGTGAGAATTCTTAAAATTTTATTTTGACATGTTTGTATAATTTTGATGTTGGAATTGCATGCGCAACCCCACAGTTCTATACCGTAAGTCCAAATAGGAATAATTATGGTTTTGTAAATTAGTACTTTGTTCTCGAGAGAAAGGTCTGATTTTCTTCCTATAAGCCAATACAGCACCTTGATTTTTATTTGGATTTGTTTTTTCTTATATTCAATGTGGGTTTTCCAGTTTAGTTTTGAATCAATATGTAGTCCGAGGTATTTCACACTATTGGAGGAAGGAATTATTTTGTTATTTAAATGGAGACTTGGATTATTATGATGTTATAAGGAAATAATGAGATGTTGGGATTTATCGGTATTGATTGTAATATTCCATTTTGAAAACCATTCTTGAAGTGTTAGTAAGTATTTT